ATCTAGACAGTGTTTAACAGATGGAGTAACTGTGACTTCGTCCACTTCATTTTACACAGTACTCCACGCCATCGCTTATTTTCAAAACGGAACGCTGCACCAATTTTATTGCGCCGTGTTACGGTAGTAGTGAACATGAATACTAATCCTAGGAGTATTTAGAATTTACGAGTTAGACATATCCTAACCCTGCAAGAGAAGATAATACTGTGTCACAATTTCAAAGGACGCCGAATACATACGATTAGATTGATGAAAAAATATTTTTATCGATCTAATTTTCACAGTACGATTACATCCAAAACTAGGAAGGAGTTGAAAGGGCCATAGGCAATTTTTTTCTTAAATTGACACATCTATCTGTCAGATTCGCAGTAAATGACAGATCTATCTGTCACATTCGCAGCAATTGACACATCTGTCAGATTTGCAGTAAATGACAGATCTATCTGTCACATTCTCAGTAACTGACAGGTCTAGCTGTCACATTCGCAGTAATTGACACATCTGTCTGTGACATTCGCAGCAATTGATAGATATGTCTTCCTATTTTAGTTGTTCTAATGACAGATGTCAATTGCATCAATTGACAGATATGTCAATTGTGCCTGTCAACTAGAAACAAAATTCTTTTGGCCCCCCAAGACTCTCATCCAGAACGACTAGGCAAATCACAAGAATCAAAATGAAGCTGACTAGAATAAACCGATATAGCTGCAATAATCAGTCGGGTCTACTTTGATAAGATATTAAGTTTGGTTTTTAAGCTAGCGTTATCGGGCAGAGCGAGAACCCACTTGCGGAGAGCAGTCAGTATGACTGAAGTCATGACTAGGAACGCTCCACCGACCGAGTACTTATTTGGTACCTCGTCGAAAAACCAAACTTGCCAAATGAAAGCGAACACGATATCACTACTGCGCGCGATCGCGACCGGACCGGCTTGCTCCATCTGCAGCGCGACGGTCAGCAGTATCTGCCCGCCGAAGCTGAAGAGAGCCAAGGCGACTATCAAGTACCGATCGGTCCCGCACGGTGGCACGCAGAGTCCGCCGATAATCCACGTCACCAAAAGACACTGGACCAACGCGAACGACCCGAAGTTAGTCATGATCACAGAGAAGTGTATACCCTTCAGCGCCCTCAACAGCACGTACGCGCTCGCGCCGAACAGCGTCGCCGAGAACGCGGCGACCGCACCCCAAATCTCGGACTTCTCGCTCGAGCTGCCCAGCGCGTCCACGGTCTCGCTGAACAGCAAAGGCGGCCGCGTGATGAACACGACGCCGATCAGCGTCAAAATAACCGAAAATACGCTAAAGACGCCGCACGGCTCCTTCAGGAACATGCGCGCGAAGACCGCCGTAAACACGGGCACCGAGAAGACGATCACCGACGCGTCCGCCAGCGGCATGTGCCGGAACGCGTAGAAGCTCAGCATGAGCGCCGCCGTACCGGTGAACGAGCGCAGCAGCAGCATGATGCGTTTCCCCTTCGGGAAGACGTACTCCTGCTTGTAGATTAGGATCGGTATGGCGGGCAGGAGAACGCCGATGTAGCGGTAGGCGGCCAAAGCGATCGGATCGACGTCGGTCATCCATTTTACGATCACGGAGCAAAGCGAGAAGAAAAGGGAGCTTAGGGTTGCTAGTATCAGTCCTAGGTATGGGCAGTTGCATAGGCTGCGTTTCGGCTGGCTACTGGCGTCGTCTTCGAGTTCCTCGTCGACAAGCTGCTGAAGCTCTACGTTTTCCGGCATCGTTCACACGATTACCCTGAAACGAAAAGAGAAATCAGTCACGAGGTAAAAACACACCAATCAAAGTATAGCATTTTGTTCCAACTCTGCTCGTTCCCTGTTTCGGGGTTCAACAGTTTCCTTTGCCACCAGCCTTGATTCGCGCCACCAACCACCATTTTCAGTTTCGGGTTTTGGACCACCAACCATTTTCTATTTGCCGTTGCAATGTTGCCGGTTTTCAGTTTTTTTCAAATATGACAAGGGGGTTAGGGGGTGCTGTAACTCCTTTCTGATATCCGAAAACTCAAAATGAAGTAAGTGTAAGTGGGGGGCGGGGAGTAAGTTTCGCTCACAATTCTGCACTAACTAGCTTTAGATGCTGCCTTGAAAATAGTGTAACGGAAACACTACCAGGTACAGAAGAGAGAAGAGAGAGAGGGGGGGGGGACTATAGATCTCCATGGAAATCTATCTAAGAATTTTCCAAAAAATGTACTCCATATGTCCTCTTAGAAATGGTGAAAAAATGTCGGCCCACAGCTCCATTCCATTCCAGATATCAATCCTGTTTCCAGTCTTCAGATTTCCAACCTTGGTCTCTAGTTTGTTGCTCTGTTACCTACTCTCCTGTTTTGGGCCGCGGGCAATCAACTTTTCGTCTTCCAGTTTCATCGGCCTTCCACTTTCCATCTTTTCCAATAATTAAGAACAGAACGCAAAAATGACGAAGAAACAAATGAAAAACGCGTAAATTTTCTATTTCTACCCAGAGAGACGGACGGAGGTACAGACGAACAGAATCACATTTTGCTTTTAAGACTGAGCATCGCCATTTTTTCAATTTTGTTTGAGAGCCACTAAAAGGAGGGAGATATGGACTACTGCGACGGTATTTTTATGTACATTTGTCCCATTTTCGACACTTTTACACCATGCGCTCTTTTTGACTCAAATCAAAATTTGACAATATTCCCTTCCCTAAAAGATACGGAGAAAAATAAAAAAATCGTTAACTTCAGATCGAGAACCTATATTTTTCTTTGTTGGAAGGGATACGAAAAATGTTTATCACAAAAGATTCTTTATCCGTTTTCAAAATAACTATATGGGGCCAGTTAAAAAAGTTATCGGACTAACCTTATTTTTTACATGAAACATCCTGTACACTTTAATAAAGATAGCGTATTAAATTCTATTTTCAAAAATATAACACACCAGGAATGAACAACATTCAAAAACGATTCAAAATAATTAAAAGAAATTCGAAAGAAAATTCAAAGGGCTGTAACTTTCGAACTAGTAGCCCAATCTTCGAACTGTTTGAAATTATGGATTCTACAGGGCACATTCTATAAGAAATACTTTTTTCCCGGTCGATCTGAGACAATTTTTTTTCGGGCCTCAAAAAACGGCAGTGTGTAACCTTCCTTTTTTACCAAAAATCGACTACACCAAAATTTCTCGGGAAAACACTTTTTCTAATTAATTTTGGGGCGTAGAATCCAAAACAATTCGTACTTTTTCGATTAGACTTCTAAATCAAAAGTTATAGACTAGAAACCAAATTCGAAAGAAAATTCAAAGGGCTGTAACTTTTGAACTGGTAGCCCAATCTTCAAACTGTTTGAAATTATGGATTCTACAGGGCACATTCTATAAGAAATATTTTTTTCCCGGTCGATCTGAGACAATTTTTTTTTCGGGCCTCAAAAAAAGGCAGTGTATAACCTTCCTTTTTTACCAAAAATCGACTACACCAAAATTTCTCGGGAAAACACTTTTTCTTATTAATTTTGGGGCGTAGAATCCAAAACAATTCGTACTTTTTCGATTAGACTTCTAAATCAAAAGTTATAGACTAGAAACCAAATTCGAAAGAAAATTCAAAGGGCTGTAACTTTTGAACTGGTAGCCCAATCTTAAAACGGTTTGAAATTATGGATCCTACAGGGCACATTCTATAAGAAATATTTTTTTCCCGGTCGATCTGAGACAATTTTTTTTTCGGGCCTCAAAAAAAGGCAGTGTACAACCTTCCTTTTTTACCAAAAATCGACTACACCAAAATTTCTCGGGAAAACATTTTTTCTTGAGACCTTAAATTGAGACCTTATATTTTTCTTTTTGGAAGAGATGCGGAAAAATGTTTATTACAAAAGTTTCTTTATCCGTTTTCAAAATAACTAATGGGACCAGTTAAAAAAGTTATCGGACTAACCTTATTTTTTACATGAAACATCCTGCACATTTTAATAAAAAAAGATAGCGTATTAAATTCTCTTTTCAAAAATATAACACACCATCAGGAATGAACAAAATTCAAAAACGATTCAAAATAATTAAAAGATTTCAAACAATCAAAAAGGGTTCAAATGATTAAAAAAATTTCAAAAAGACTTGAATTTTTTTAATGTGGTTATTTTTTGAAAAGAGAATTTAATATGCTATCTTTGATTGAAATACACACGGAATAACACAGCTCCAATCAAGTATCGTAATCCAGAATCCAAAATCTAGAGTCCAGGATAGTTCGGAAGACTGTAAACCTCCGAACCTACTCTCTCTGAAATACTTCTTTGGAGGAGAGGATAAAGTAAATTATTATTAATTATTTTAATTAATTTTTTTATTAATTTTTATGATCATCATACCAAAAACTACTGTGGGAGCCCTGTGTTACCGATGGGACGGGGGGCTATTCCATACCCCCAGTGTAGCATAGTTCCATTTTCATTATATGAATACCCCCATGAAAGTACAGAGCGTTCCATGAAAAAGATTTGTCGAGTCCTCCTACTACTGCTACTGCTGGGCTTTCAACTGTTGAGGGTGTTCCATATCGCCCCCCCCCCCGCCCCCCCCAAACCCCGGAGCTACTTT